CATATAGTTTCTTTGCTTAAATTGCTGTGTAAGAATGAATCTGGTCTGACTGTGTCTCTTGTTACACCGTTTTTCTTCCTTTTTACAGTCCCATTCTCTCACTAAACCAAAAAATAAATAAAATTTAATTTTAAAAAAGGAAAAAATGCAAATGAATATGCATAGTTCCTAAAGCCATTGACTCTTTCCATGATATACCCCCAAAGGATAAACATTTCTGAGATACCAAAGGGACCATGGGAAATATTGGCATAGATTTTGATGAAGTAAATGATGCCAATGACTAGGTAACATATTCTAGTGTAAGACAAATGGTATCAATTTCATTGCTTTCAAGAAAAGTAAAGAGGAATCCAATGGATTTATTGGTCATTCAAATAATTGTTCCAAACAGATCATCATCATATTATTATCTTTTTAATTGAAGTATATAGTCATATTATTTTTTATTTTTTAATTCCAAAGGCATTAAAAATGGCAGTGGGCAATGATAAAACAGTACCCATATCATCATCTTATTTATGTTATTAAACATATCAGTATTAACAATTATGGAATAGGGAGAAAGTCAATAGGAACAGAATTACTACTGAACTATGTCTCATTCTTTTAATAAATAATATTCATTTTCAGCTCCTCCAAGAAAAAAAAGCTCATGCAGCTCATTAAGAGATGAATTGCCAATCAAATTTTACTTTGAGTATATCAATATTTGTGTCATGCTTATGTTGTTTTGATTAATTATGTACTAATAAGCATTAGAAAAATAACTCAATGCAAAAAAAAATAACTTAATGCAGAATACATTTTAAAAATAATGCTCTATGTGTCATCAATTATTAAACATCAAATTTAAATACATTTATATACATTTTTTGGAAAGTATTATGACAGAGTGATCATCAAAATTGTTTCAAACAGAAAAATATATTACACAATCAAAAAAACTCTTTGGTGGGGATAAAATAAAAATTTGGATTCAAGGAGAAAAGGAATTGATGTAAAAATATGTGAATGGTTAAGAATGTGTTCATGCATTTTTAAATCCATGATGTCAAGTATCAAAATATCATATTTAGTTTCCATTAGTTATTTTTAAATGTGATATAACAATTTATTTTAAACTCACTATATTTATACTATATACCAAAATGCATGCTCAACGACTATGTAAATTTATAAAATTTTGATGTCAATCTGAAAATGCATAAAAAGATACATAGTTTATTTTTCTTTCATTAATTGTTTTATAGAATACACAAAAATTTAGCAATCACTATCCTAAACAGATTGAGTACTTAAAAAATTTCCCTGTGTAAAGGTGACCCTGATGAACTAGATGAGGTCTGGAAGAATAGCACATGGTGAGGGAAACACTCCCATTGTAACTGGAGGCCCTGAAGTGAGAGAGGCTAAAATCTGAGACCAGTTACTGATCGACCAGCACGGTCTTATCAATCCACCCTACACAGACCTGTGTTGTTTAGGAGGTGTGGGGACACTCTCCCATTTGACCAAAGGTTTCCGGGATACCACAGACAGCCACGGGCAGAAGGAAGCGGTGCCCACTGGAGCTAGGCTGACAGAGCTAGAGAAGGGGTGGGGTGAAGGGACAGGTGAAAATATACCTGCTGCATGCCATGGTGAGCTGGCTGAAGGCCGAAGGGATGGGAGGAGAGGAGAACAAGTATTTCCAGGCACGATGACATAAGAAAAATAGGAACCAAGTTTCTACTAAAGCAGAATTTAGAGCTTTTCCTAGGATTCTTAGGATCTGAAACCTGGCTTTGTGAGTTTGCCATATTTTACTTGACACCTAAGCTGACACCATCTATTCAGCTAATCCTCATCCTCAGAATCTCCCAGTACGTAAACTCTGAGGGTAGAGACTTTTGGATGGTAAGTTGTTGAAAGAGTCTGGTTCCTTACATAATAGGAAGGAGGTTGCTTCATGAATAGGTTTAGCATTAATTTACTGTTTAAACAAGGACATTTTTGAGAGGAAAAAGGAGTGCCATTAATAGTGATGCTGAGAAGAATAAGTGTAAATCATGATTATCTGGGACAAACCAAAAAATGTACTTACGTTACTCAAAGCCATATTCCTAGGATGACTTTTTCTTGGAGGAGACACAATTCCTGCCTGACCCCTCTAAACAAGAATTTGTTTTATTTCAACTCAAATATCATCAAGTCTTAAGCCTTTACTGTTAACTTATTATTTGCCAGGCTTTTTGCTGGGAGCTTTGAGAGAAAAACGAAAAGGGAATTCATGATCTCTGCCCTGAAGATCATCATATCTGCCAGAGATGGCATGCACATGGGCACAAACAGAGACACACATACACTGATAAGGTGTGAGATGGGGAGGGGTTAAGATAAGTCTTGTGATCCAGATTCAATCCTGTAGGCAACACTTTGAATTTCTGACTCACATTCTTCCTGAAAACTCCTGATGTAGCACTTTGCCCACAGAAGAAACACCATCAGAGTTTATGGACTGACAAAGTCCCTGCCCCTGGGAATGATTCAGAGTAGTTCTCTCTTACAGGAAAACAAGGTGACAATTCCCTGTCGGATTGGCTTGGTCTTGACACTGTAGATGATGGGGTTGAGTACAGGGGGCACAAAGAGGTAGATGCTAGACATGAGTGTGTGGACCAGGGGTGAGGCATGCTTGGCGGCATGATGCATCACAGACACACCAATCATAGGCACATAGTACACAAGCACCGCACAGATGTGTGACACACACGTATTGAGGGCCTTCCATCGTCC